ACAATTCCTCTATTCACTCCAACGAAGGGCTAACGCTCGAAACGTCAGCTTTTGTAATCATTACGGTGGCCAATTTACCATTTCAACTTTGTTGATATATCCAAATTATTTCGTTACTCCCACCGACGCAGCCCCAAACAGTTTCTTTTGAAACTATCAGCCTTTATACATAGGGTAAAATTGCATAAAACACTACAACTTGATAAAATGGTTTAACTGGTAGAAATGGTCGCACTAAGTTGAACTGGTCAAACTGGTTAAAAAATGGTGCAACCAGTGGAAAACGATTCAAACCATTTAAGTGATCCTAATCGTTAAAATGATTACACTGGCGCAAATTGTGAAATCAAAAAAAATTGTTTTTTTTTTTAATGCTCTAACTTGAAGTAGAAGTGGTCCAGTGTAACTCTATAAAATGGTCCAACCAATTCAAATGGTTTTACTCGCTAGATAGGACATACTGGTCAAAATGGTCTATCTAGAAAATATGGTCCAACTAGCAGGAATGGTATAGTTAGGTCCCACTTGTCTTACCAAATGGTCTGACTACTGAAAATTGTCCAGCCAGAAAGAAAAATTATTTTGGTTAAAGGGGTTAAAAAGGTTAAAAGGGTAAAATTTGTTTCAATGGTCTACCGGTACAAATAGCCTAACTAGATGGAATGGAACTTCTGGTTAAAATAGTCCAATTGGTTAAAAAATTAATGGTCTTGAATAGGTAAAATGGTTCAACTGGCAGTAATGGTCAAAACTGGTTCCACCTGGTCTAACTAAATAGTCCAACCACCTAAAATGGTCCGTTACCCCTAAGGAAGGTTTAAATGTTTAAAAGGGTGATAAGGGTAAGATTTGCTAAATAGTCCAATTGGTTAAAATGGTCCAGCTAGATAAAATGATCCAACTGCTAGAAATGGTCTAGTTAGAGAATATGATCTGACAAACAGAAAGGTTTTCAAGTTTTGCTCATTCACTAACCATCCATCAGTTTTATGCTTTGAAGAAGGGAAATCATCCCAAGAATCTTAATTAGTAAGACTGTGACACAAAACAGTTTAAAACACTGAGGCTAAGCTACAGTGATACTACCTTCCCATAAAAAATAAATGAGGTTGAACCTCAAGAAAACCATGGCAACCCACTAGTTCATCGTCTACATTTCCTGTCCTGTTCAAATCTTCATACCCAACAGGTCTAAGGGATGAAGTCTATTTTTTAAAGCTCAATCTATGGTTTAAACTCAGTTGTGACAATCCTCAATCCACATTGAATATTTACATGCACTGATCAATTACTTTCTCAAGTCACATGACCCACTGCAGAGACTCAAAAGCTTGGAAATTTAGAAAGTTAACCAAAATTGTGCATTCCTTAACATTAAACTACTCAGCACCTCCATAAACAGAGCATACACCTGATGTCATAATGTATGCCATAATATATGTATTTAGTATAATTTCAGAGCTGAGCGAAGAGTTTCCAGCAATCTGATTGGTCGAGCGGTTCCTTATATGATGCTATATAAACCGCTCCGCACGGTTTATATAAAATGTTAAAATAAAATGTTAACAAATGTTACTAAAATGTTATGATTTTAGACATTTCTCTGTTGTTCAGCTCTGAAATTATACTAAAACAATTATTCGCCTGAGGTTCGGTGAATATTGTCGAATAATCCTCTCGACTTCGTCTCGGGGATTATTCAACAATATTCACCTCGTCTTCAGCGAATAATTGTTAAATATTAATGTATCAGCACTAGTGCATACAACGATACATTTATCCTTATAGACTGAGATGCAAGTACCTCATAAAATAATATCATCCACAGGTTGCTTATGATTACTTCCATGACAGATTTGTCTGCAATACAAAATAAAATTAAATATGAGTACTGAAAACTGCCAAAACCTGTATGTACACACTGCACATAAAATAATCCTTCAGATTCGGACATTATAACACCAATTTCTTAGACTTCTATCAGCAATCATTTGTGCAAAATCACTCCATATCATTGACTAGTCCTTTGAAATTCAATTTACAGGGAGAAATTAATGCAATATTCTCTTCACCGTGAAGTTGTTCACATGAACACATCTTAACGTAGATTAAATTGATTGGATCAAGAAATACATCGAGATAATGAAATAACAAGGTTTGTTATGGTTGCAGTATGCTAGGAGACGAGAATCACAGTGGAAAATTCCATGTGTTTTGTTATAAGGTAGTTTAACTTCAGAAGTGCTGCATTTGCATGAGTTATAAAGCACAACTTTTCTTTGAAAAGTTCTCAGTGAATTTTCAGGAGGAACGAACTTTCACTCAAAATTTTGGGACTCACTAATTTCCTCAGTGAGCTTTTCTACTAGAGTTCCAAACAGTAATGCTTCCACAAAAATTTGTGAAGATTTCCCTGAGCCTTTCGTTTTGGGCAAAAGTTTGTTGAAAAGGCAGGGAAATTTGTCAAAATTCATGGACAGGCACTTTTGCATAACTTTTGCACAATACCTTCACTTAATTTCATCCTATAACGAAGCAGGGAACCAGTTTTAATTGGGAAGTATTGGAACATCTTCAAAACAGCCTAAGACAAATGAACACACAGGTACACTGTACATTAATCTCGCTGGCTCAATTTCTGAGTGGCAATAATTATTATACAAATTAAAGCAACTTATTTTTGCTGGCATCATTTTCAAACATCGCAAATAACATGGTTGCACAAAATAAAAGAAGAATTCCATAATTCTTAGTTTTTTTACACTTGATTTCCTTTGTTTTGAAAAGAAAACCCACATTTTCTTTTATCAGGACTTAGAAAAATATGTGGGAAACCTGCTGACATAGATTCATTAAGTTTGTCTTATCCCCTCTAGCATTCATCTTTGGCAGATAACACAAGTCTCAGTCCCAGTACTTTTTTATAACCCTAACCCTACCAAACATAATAATTAAATTCAAGTGGAGAATTTCTACTTGATGAGAATTGAATATGCCCTACATTGCCACTCACCTTAATTATTATTTGACATGTCACATTTGAGTTACAGGTAGCTGACAATTCCATGTCAACAGATTGTTTTTGCATACAATTCTGTCGAGTTACATAAAATTCACAAATAAAGGTGCTTGTCAATTAATGCTTTAGTTTCTGAAATTATTTTTTTTCCACAAAGCAATAAGATAATTATCTAACATACATCATTTCAAATGAGCAGAGGATGGGATATACCATGTGGGTGGCTCCAAAGCAACCTATATACAGCTTGGTAATCAGGGATAGCAATTAGACACATTTTTAGTGCTCCACTTCATTCTGGCTTCACTACTGACTCTCTACTCATGAATGTGAGCATAAAACATTACTCACAGGACAATCAGTTCATCCCATATTGAGACAGAATATTATTCTATGCACTTTTAATTAATAAACTTAAGTTACAATTATTATGATGCTTACAACAATAAAGATGTAAACAGAGTTTATTGAAGCAAAGTGACAAGATATCAACAGGATTTGGAGATGAAATGATGCATAGCGAAGCCAGGAATACAGGCAGCTAGACTAAATGACATCAGTGATGTATAAAAATGTATGAAGCTGTTTTGAAAACAATGAATTTAGCACTAGTGGACATTACACTACAGGTGTAGGTGGCTCTTCTTTCCTGTTGTTTCCAAGTCAAATTGATATTTGAATTGTTGGTTTATGTGGTGCGTCAGGAAAAGGATAAAAACCAACAACAACCTCAACCCACATGTGACTCCAGGTCTGGGACTCGAACTGGGCAGGTAAGCGCTCTCATCCCTGCACCATACCTGCTCCCCTTAACATCTGATACATTTATAGAACAGTGCCTAGCTTAAAAGTCATCACCACTATCCAAAAGCTACAATTAAGGCCCTCAGAGGCAGGTCTACTCTTTCTCACCTGTTGGCAAAAGGAATCTAAGCATTGTGAAATGGTTGTGACAAAGTTTTCAAAGAGCTCTGCAACACACTCCCTTCCAAATGCAGAGGCATCAATAAGCTGACAAACTATTTTACAAGAAAACAAATAACAGATGGTAAAAAGCACCATCTGTAATATGTCATAAAATTGCTATCCCACCATGAACTGTATTTACTGCAAAGTGAATCTGTATCTTTAAATAAATTATACACAGTAAGACATACCCAAACTTGACTACAGTCCAAGTACATTAAAAGCTACTTAGGAAAACTATAACAAAAACATGGTAAAAAATGTTATAATAAAAAACTTAAAGATTTAAATGAGATGAACAAAAGAGCTAAAAGATCAATAGCAAACCAGGCCTAGACTGTCTCAGGTCTACCAGAGAGCAGCAGCAACTTACCTATACACAAACCTATCCCACATGCACCCCGTATTAACAATATGCTCCAAATAACAACTAAAAAATGCAACTTTATATACTGTACATAACTGTACAGTCAAACACTATGTATTCACATCATTCTGTAATCCGTAGACAAACAAATTGTATCTTACCAACTTCAATTGGATAAACAATTTTCCTTGCAGACAATAAAAGCTCTTGGATGTTTCTTTTAATCTCGCATTTTGCATGATGGTGCTTGAGTTCACAAAGGATTTCAAATGTCTGGAAGGGAAGTTACAATTGTTTTAGCAATGTACAAACAAATTGTTAATGCCATGTAAATAATTATGTGACATTATCATGTGCTCAAATGTTTAGAAAACCATAATAAAAGTTGAGATGTGTAGGACTGGATGGGTTGACATGAACGGGTCCAGCAAAAGCACTTGCACCCC